GAGGAGCCAACCGCTGAAGGGCTGAAACTCTGTGCGGGTCGCGTGCCCTGACATCCTCCTTCCATCGTGCCTTTTCTTCAAGCACAGTCCGTATATGAGGGCCGATAGGTGCTTCCCTCAGTGTAAGACCTCAATGATCTCGTTCTCTCAGACCTGGAGTAACGAGTTTTGGAAGTCCTTGATTGAGTGTCGCCTGTTCTGAGGCTCCTACTCTCTGTTTGCGATGGCATGGTATGCCTGCCACGATCTTCTGAGTGGCGAAGAGGCATATTGCTTTTGCGTCCCTCTCCTGTCACCATCCATTTCCCTTTTATCTAGTGCCTCATCAATTCCATGTCCGCCGCCATCTTCCTGATTAACTCGTCCTGCTCCTTTACCCGATCCTCCAAAACTTGAGGGTCGATCCTTCGCCTCTGCCTGTCGGGACTTGATGAGCGGTGGGGGCTGTTACCTCGCCTCCCCCTTGCATCCCTCCGGGGATTCTGTCACTGGGGCTCTAGATCTGCCATGGGAGGGACGAAAGGCAAACATTCGCACCTCCCACCTCCCTCTGGGGTTTGTCCGTCAATGGCGGACTAAGGCAAATCTTCATTGTGCTCCATTGCGTCTAATCTAGCGAGGAAAACTTTGATCAAGAGGTTTTGTTCTTTTTGTGATTCCCACAGACGGCGCCAATTGTACGGGCAAGAAATAATTTTCTTGTATAATCCTGTTGATCAAGTCTGCCCTCCTCCAAACGTCGTCGCTTTACTCCTTGAAAACACAAACGTGAGCTAGCCAACGGGTGTGTGCCGGATACCTCTCCGATGCCTAAGTCAGCAAAATAGACAATAGACAATAAGCTCTGTGTACTCGAGAATCAAAGTTGTGTTACCTCTTCATAGGTGATGGTATGAGCTTTTATAGGTTCCGCGTGGCATAATCCTAGTAGGACTCTTATTCCTCCATGCAGAGTCCTCCTAGGAATCATACACCTGAAAGATAATACTTATTCTTCAACACCCCCCTCACTGCTTAAACCAAGTGAGATGGTCCTAGCTCGGTGTCATATCCAAACGACCGAGCTAGCATTGTCATGACACAATGATAATGTAACCGAGCTACAATACTCATGTTACATTTATCCCAGCACTTTATGTGTAACATGTACCTCGGCTTTGCTTGTAGACCGTGCTAACCATAGCGTACTTGGACCGAGCTACTCAGCAACAAGGTCCTAAATAGAAGCCAAAAATACCTCGCCTCAAGATGGTTTGACCGGGCTAACTGTCACCGCGCTGACCGTGGTGACTGAGCTAGCCACCAAGCTCCTTCGGACCGGGCTATCTGCAAGGCTCCTCTGGACCGGACTAAATACAAGGCCCTTTTACTCAGCCCTTCTTACTGTGGCCCACAGAATGGCCCATTACCCAGCTCGGCCCAATTTACATATAAATTACCCTCTCAATTGCCCCGTAATTCCATCTGTACAGCATGATAGCGATTACATGTTACCAGCTGAGGTAAAAAAAGCTTTAGCCTTCCAACCAAGCTAAAAAGCTTTAGCCTTCCAACTGAGCTAAATTCATACTATGCTATCAATCTGTCCGGCCAAAACGTCTCTTCAATCGTTGTAACTGAATCACTTCTTATTCCAAGAACACGTGGCACACTATCATTGGCCCAATGCAACTGTCACGCCATTTTCGTATTTCGCGTAATTTGAACAGTCCCGCCCAATTTCCCCTTCTTCACACAAAAAACCATTCATTTTGAATCTAACACGTCTACTATTCATAATTTTCTCTTTCTTTGAGTTTCTTCTCCCCTATTCTCTTGCAACTTTGGAGCTTGTTTTTTTTTTTTTTTGCTAAGATTGCTCCCATCTTCAGTCCTTCCATCTTGAACTGGTAAGTAACTCAAATCTGTGTCATGTTTGCTGATATCGTCCATGTTTATACAGCATGCTTAGTTGTATGTTTTTCAAAACATATGCCATGTTTTGCTTCCATTTTTCTGTGAAAAACCATTCAAAAGAACCACTTGTACTCACGAATAATCTGAAGAAAGCTCTGTGTATTCGGGAACCAAAGTTGTTTTACCTCTTCATAGGTGATGGTATGAGCTTTTATAGGTTCCGCGTAGCACAATCCTAGTAGGACTCTTATTCCTCCATGCAGAGTCCACCTAGGAATCATACTCCTGAAAGATAATGCTTATCCTTCAACACCTCCCTCACTGCTTAAACCAAGTGAGATGGTCCTAGCTCGGTGTCATATCCAATCGACCGAGCTAGCATTATCATGACACAATGACAATGTAACCGAGCTAACAACACTCATGTTACATTTATCCCGGCGCTTTATGTGTAACATGTACTTCGGCTTTGCTTGTAGATCGTGCTAACCATAGCGTACTTGGACCGAGCTACTCAACAGCAAGGTCCTAAATAGAAGCCAAAAATACCTCGGCTCAAGATGGTTTGATCGGGTTAACTGTCACCGCGCCGACCATGGTGACCGAGCTAACCACCAAGCTCCTTCGGACCGGGCTATCTGCAAGGCTCCTCCGGATCGGACTAATTACAAGGCCCTTTTACTCAACCCTTCTTACTGTGGCCCATAGAATGGCCCATTATTCCACTCGGTCCAATTTACATATAAATTACCCTTTCATATATCTTTTTATTTATTAATAATTTATAATTATATAAAATTAATTATGACGTCATGGTTCAACCGCTTCAACCCGATAATTGAACTAGTGACCCGTCTATCCGATGTTTTTTTGGGTTTGCTCACCGATTCGGTTTTCAATGCATTGCTTGTGAATCAAACATGACCTATAGCTACTAAAAGTAATTTAGTCAGCATTTTTCTTACTTTTAGCAACTAAAATTTAGACAGCAATTGTATGGAATTTTTTGGAGGTAAGATTTTAAAATTTGGAGGGATTCCTAAATGAATTAGTGACTAAATTTTCAGGTGGTCGGAAATGGAAGCATAATCCATTGATTGAACAAACCCACCATTCTGGGTCTCTTCTTTCTCACGCCTCACACCTCTGCCCTCCTCTCTATTACTGGAGCACCACTGCAAGGGTTAGCACCACTGTTGCTTTGTCTCAGATAGGTATGTCCTCTCTCTCTCTCTCTCTCTCTCTCTCTCTCTCTCCCTCGTATGTCTTCTTGTATTCGCATATACCTTCACACCTAACCCCAAATTCAACCCAGCCCCAAATCGACCCATCTTGCTGGAGTGGTGATTGGACTGCTCTTTGGATTTCACCACTTGTACACCTATAAACAGCTAGAATGATGCTTCTAGCCGAGCTTGTTCCTATTCTCTAGACTTTCACCCCTTGAACTCTGTTAGTCTGATTAGAAGCAATACAGTAGCCTAATATATGATGTTTATGATGCCAACATCTTAATCCCTTAAATTGAATAAATGTGCTTCAATGCAAATGTTCCAAATCATTGTCCATAATCAATCAACTAACTCATCATATATTCTCGTAGGTCAGTTTTTGTAGAAATCCTGAAAAGTATATAACTATATGATATTCAAAGACCAATTGTTCAAATCCTGTTTCTAGAGTCTTTGATAGAAGGATAAGTGAAATTATCAAGATTTGGTCGAAATAGTTGAAATGGCATGAACAATATATATATTTCTAATGCTATTTATCAATTAGTCGGTATAAACAAAATACTCAAAGTAGCCAAGAATGGAAAGAAAGAGAAAGTGGAACGAAATCTCAATCTTTAACAAAGTTCTATGTATTTAAATGGTTTATTGCTATTTTTCAATAATTTTTGGTGGTATTAATATACTAATTGGGAAACTTTGATATTGGGAGCTATGAATTAACCACAGATATTAATTACACAGACGGGATGTAAAAAAATTTGTGTGTACTGAAAATTCTTCCCTGGGTTAGCATATCTAGGTTTATATTTTAAAGCAATGTACCCATGTGTTTTCTCTGTTTTCATTCTCTTCTCATTCTTATTTTATTGTTAGTTTTATAACTTTGTTGTAAACCGTGGGGAGTTATCTTTGTTTGCTACAATAGTGTCATCGATGAGAAAGGTGACCTTAATGCTTTGATAATCCTCAAAACACCATATGAGCTTTTAGTGAACAACAAAAGATGAATATATAAATATATAAAAGATGTTATAGAATCCATTCAAAGAAAGAATAAAATAAAAGACTAGAAGAGACACTGACTTTGAAATTTTACCACAAAGAAAGCCAAACTTTGCCTCAGATGGAGGGACCTAAGAAAAAACCTCACTCAACCTGCATCAGAGGATAATACCTTAGAATTTACCAGATAAAGAATAGCAAATCATGTCTTTGTTGAATATTAAGAAATAAGATAGCAATAATTGAGACCTGACTCATATTTAGACTACGATTGCTAGCTGAAATTTAAAAATATTTAAGGGGGAGAAGTGGCCAATAAAAATTAGTGAAAAGAGGGAAAGATTTTAGTATTACATGGGCTAAAGCTATTCTAATCATTAGTTTTCAATGCCAGCGAAGTATAAACAGATCAAATGTATGCATTTTTCACAATGTCATTTGTAAGTTTAAGTTCATTCAATAACTAGTACAAACTTACTAAAAACCTTCCTCAAAACACTAATGAATTGATTTAATTTTTTTAATAACCAGTGGGTGGTGCTATGGTGGGGGTGTTTGGTCTGATCTACTACCATGGTGGGGGTGTTTGTGGGTGGTGCCTAGGTCTATTGATTGTTTATTTCATTGGTGGTTAGGTTGGAATCATAAGAAACTGATTAGGAAACTGTGCCGAGCCTTGCCTTCTATAGTTCTGTGGTCCATTTGGAAGTTAAGAAACAATTGTATATTTAATGGAGTGCAGCCTAGTGGGTCGAAGTGATATGAGCTTATTAAGATCAGATTTGCTTTATGCGTTAAAGCTTCTTCAAAAGGGATCATGTACTCTGCCATGGACTTAATCAACAATTTGGCTCAGATTAAGGACTGTAGTTGAGTTTGGTCTGGACTGCAGTTGGTTCCTGGGTTGTTACTTCTAGTGTGTTTTGGGCTGCTATTATCTGAAGGCTGCTATTTGAACTACTTTAATCTGAGGGTTGCTATTTGGTCTATTTTAACTTGACGGCTGCTATTATCTGAGGGCAGCTATTTGGACTATTTTAATCTGAGGTTTCTGGTCTGTAGTGTTTTGCTGGTTTTGGGTGATCTGGTCTGTTGTGTTATGGTCTGATGTTTTTTTTTTTTTTGGGTGATCTAGTCTGATGTGATTGGGGGTGATCTGTTACATTGATGGGATCTGCATTGGGTATCACTTGATTCAGTTGTGGCTGTGTTACTCTAATGGTTGGGTGTTAGTAGCAGTAGGTTTCTCTGCTGTTTCTATTTTCTGCTGCTGCTAGCCCTGTTTTGTCAGTTCTGTTATTGTGTTACTGTGTATATGTTGGTCTGTCACTAACAGGTTTGTCGTTGGATGCTGCCATGTGATTGAGCGAGTTGCTTAGTGCCAACTTAGTTGGGATTGGGCTGTTTCACTATGATGGGCGCTGCATCTTCCCTCCCCCCCTCCCTTTGTTGATGTCTTTTTCCTTCCTTGCAAGGTTTTCGTTCATCAATAAAGTGTTCTTCGTTGTTGATCAAAAAAAATATAGCAGCAACAGTAGCAGTAGAAACTTGGGTTTATTTGTTTATAAAATGAGAAGAATAGCAACTATTTGTGTGATTGAAGTGACGGAGGGTGGGGTGAAGAGGTTCTTCTAGTAGATAAACAGGATTAAAATCTGATATAAACAGAATAAAAAATCTGATTACTTGTTACACTGTGATAGTAGGTAAACAGAGTAAAAAATAACATAAAGTAGAGTAGAGAAACCCATTTCATAGAAAAAGACCTATTTCATTTGATAGTAGATACACAATGCTTATCAAAATCTGATATAAACCGAACTAAATGTCTTTCATCTCTCATATTGGTTCCCTTTTAACCATTTGTTAATTTTACGTTGCGATTGAATCTATGAAAAACATAAGCAAAAAAATGAAGTCTCTATTGCTATGTTAGATAAGTTTTACATGACCTGTGAGGCAATGTAATTGTGTCTGTCAAGGAATTTTTTATTGAACATATAAACCAAAACTTTCTAATTTATTTGTATCTGTACTTGAATTGTGGCTTTTAGTTTTAATTGAATTTTACTATTGAATTCTAAATTTTCTATTTTAGTAATTTGTATGGTTACACCATTTATTCATATGTGCCTAGAAACTCAATTGATTTCGTTGCGAGTTTGGCCCCATTTACAATTTTTGGTTTTTACTTGTGCTCCATAAACAACAATACTACTTGATTGGAAATTACAATCAAATTCATCAAACCAATCAAATAAAGAACTTACATCTGACTCACATGCTTGAGAGACCTCATATCATATCTATGCCCCACTGAACAAGTTTCACACCATCTCAACTTACAATTCAATTCAATATATGTATATACATAAATATATAATTATATACGTGCATTTTATGCCACATGGCTTTTTAGCTGTTGGCTTAGAAATAGTTAGACAAATTCATAATCCAAATGAAACCATGAATTTATCTAACTACACGAATTTAAGCAGTATGACCTCTTAAAGGCCTTTTCGTTAATTCTTCTACAAAGTAACTCTGTCATATTGTATTCCAATTCATCGCCTAGATGCTTCTTCTCTTAACAAGTGGAAAACAAAAAGAAAAAAGAAGGAAAGAAAGAATGAAAAAACATGGGTTTTTTTTTTTTTTTTTTTTCTGAACCTAGTACACAGGAACAAAGATGTATGGCTTGTTACGTTATTAGATGAATGGTAATTTGGTAATTGCCACTTAGTTGCTTATTAGTATCAATAATATTGTATTTTTAATTTCACCTAATCTGTTTATCCTTGTCTAGCATATAAAATAGAGAAACAAAATCGATATGCTATTTACAATTTCATATTCTTAAAGTTTTCAACATTTGCCCGTGTTTATGAAAGGTGCTTTTTGTTAATATTGAGACTTAAAATTGGTTTTTTTTTTTTTAAAAAAAAAAACCCCCAAATTAATGTCACTTTTTGCCTGACAAACTTGGTAAGAGTGTAGATAGATCAGTATTTCATTTTGTTTATTTAGTCTAACTAATGTATAAGTGTTCTTCCAAAATTTTAATTAAATTTTGTTGGCAAACTTGTTGTGCCTTGTGTGCTATATTAGATAAACTGATCGGACTTTGATTTATATGTAGTCTATAAGTCTGTATAATGCATTAGGTACTTATTTGGATTAGTTTAATTTTAGAATGTTTTCTAGCCCACTGGTATAGACTCATACTACAAACATCTACATCTATATCCATATATATAACTATGCATTTTATGAATTCCCTGTGTATTGTACATATTCAACATTGTTGGTACTAAGTTCATGTTAAAAAATGTAGACTAATCATGCACCCCACTGTAGGATTCTTTTGCTTATACCCTCGCCCTTCCGTGGTAAAAAAAAATTAAAAAATTTGGTAACCTGATAACTCAGTGGATCTCTTCTAAGTATGAATTCATGAATCTAAATACAAATATGCGAGTAAGACGAGAAATTGGATATAGATTTATTTTATTTTATTGATAATTTAATTTTAATGACAAAAGAATGAGAAATGATTTATATAACTGATTCCACGTTATTGAGATACAACACTTAATTAATTGTATTAAAATTTCAACAAAATACTTGTAGCTAAATAAGTTGATAGGACATAATTTGGACTTGGAAGGCATGTCTTTTAATAATTGAACCAAAATTCTGATTTTGTTCCTACGTTAATCTTTGCTTAATTTGTAGGTCACAATAATGGACAAGAGTTGGATGTTGATAAATAATAGGTTGACAAGAAAAGAGTATCAACAAGGGGTGAAGTCATTCCTTGACTTTGCTACCGCAAATTTTGGCCCACATGATGAAATTAGGTGTCCTTGTGTCGATTGCATGAATGGCACAAAATTTAGTAGTTAAGTTGTGTGGGCGCACCTAATCCGAAGAGGAATTGCGTCTTCGTATATAACTTGGGTTCACCACGGAGAACATGTTCCTATTTCTCATTCTAGTGTATAAAATGACCATTTTGGAAGTAGTGGAGAAGGTATACCAGATACCGATCATCCGATGATGGGTGAATTGCCTAATATGTTGAAAGAAATTTACATGAATGGTCTTATGGATGATCATATCGATGAAGAATCTACTAGTTTGGAGAGGGAGGATTTGCAGAAGTTCATTAGGTTATTTGAAGATGCTCAATGCAAAATTTACCCAGCATGTGAAAAGTTTTCTGTGTTGTTATTCATTATTAAGATGCTTCATGTAAAGGTGTACAACAAATGGAGCAACAAGTCATTCGGTATGGTTATGCAGGTATTCAAGGACATTCTACCAGAATGTGATCAAACTGTTCCATGGACGCTCTATCATGCTAAGATGTTCTTACGTGACTTGGGTTTGGGATATGAAACCATTCATGCGTGCAATAATGATTGTGCACTGTTTTGGAAGGAGAATACGAATTTGGAGAAATGCCCTACATGTGACAAGCTAAGACACAAGTTGACCAATGATGGGGGTAAAAAGGCTTCATGTAAAGGTGTACAACAAATGGAGCAACAAGTCATTCGGTATGGTTATGCAGGTATTCAAGGACATTCTACCAGAATGTGATCAAACTGTTCCATGGACGCTCTATCATGCTAAGAAGTTCTTACGTGACTTGGGTTTGGGATATGAAACCATTCATGCGTGCAAGAATGATTGTGCACTGTTTTGGAAGGAGAATACGAATTTGGAGAAATGCCCTACATGTGAAGAGCTAAGACACAAGTTGACCAATGATGGGGGTAAAAAGATTCCTCACAAGCTATTGTGGTACTTTCCTTTGACACCGAGGTTGAAAAGATTGTATATGTTAAAAAAAAAAAATAGCTGCAGATATGAGATGGAACAAAGAGAAGTGTGTGGATGATGACATATTAAAGCATCCGGCCGATAGTAAGGCATGGAAAGACTACAATAAGCAACATCCAACATTTTCTGCTGATTCTCGAAATGTAAGGCTAGGGCTGGCGACTGATGGTTTCAATCCATTTAGAAATATGAGCACATCGTATAGCATGTGGCACGTAATCTTAATGCCTTATAACCTCCCACCGTGGAAGTGTATGAAAAAACAATTTTACATGATGCCATTGCTATTCCCGAACGATCAGCATATGGTAACATGTCAGGGTGGAGTACAAAGGGTTACTTGGCTTGCCCTAATTGTAACATGAATGCATCGTCACAGGGTTTGTAAAGTAAGATAGGGTACATGGGTGCTTGTCGTTACTTGCCTGAGAACCACGGTTGGCGAAGGAGTAAGCTTTTCAACGGCCAGATTGAGGACAAGTCCAAACCTATGGACTTATCGTGGGAAGAAATACTAGAGCAAATTGGTTGTGAGACTTACAAGCCATATGGAAAGCACTCACACAATCAAAAACGACAATGGAATGAAAATCCAAATTTGAATTGGACAAAGAGACGCATTATGTTTGACTTGCCCTATTAGAAAACGCTGAAGCTTCGACACAATCTTGATGTCATGCATATTGACAAAAATATATATGACAATGTGATCGGGACACTCTTGAGCATAGATGGAAAGAACAAGGACACGGACAAAGCACACTTAGATTTGGAAGATATGAGAATACGTAAAGAGTTACACTTGAAGAGACGTGCCAATGGATCCTTCGAGAAGCCCCCCGCATTGTACACATTGTCTCCGATAGAGAGAGAAGGCTTTTGTCATTTTTTGAAATCAATTAAGTATCCTGATGGCTATGTAGCAAATATCTCCAATTGCGTGACCGCTCAAGGAGGTAAATTATCTGGCCTCAAAAGTCATGACTGTCATGTCCTTACACAACGACTTCTTCCAATTGGGATGCGTGGCTACCTTAATAAGGAACTTGGCACCACACTTTTTGAGTTGGGAAATTTCGTCAAACAGTTGTGTTCAAAGACATTGAGGGTAACAGATTTGGAGAAATTGGAAGAACAAATCGTACTCATACTTTGTAAACTTGAGAAGATTTTCCCTCCGGCTTTTTTTGATGTTATGGTCCACTTGGCAATTCACTTGTCTCGAGAGGCTATGCTTGGGGAGCCAGTGCAATATCGATGGATGTACCCAATTGAGAGGTATGTTGGTACTTTTGTAGTGTGAAAATTGTAAATAACGCTTCATTGCCAATATAAATTTAAATATAACATTCTCATTGTCTTGGTTTTTAGGTTTCTAAAAGGGTTTGTGGCTAATAAAGCTTATCCTGAAGGTTTTATTGCCGAGGCTTACATTTCAAAAGAGTGTACAACATTTTGTTCAATGTATTTGGATGGAGTTGAAACAATTTTTAACCGGGTAGAAAGGAATTACGACATGGGTGACCTTGGCCCAGGGTTGGCAGTATTCACTCAAAATGTCCGTCCCTTTGGTCTAATGACAAGGGCTTCTGATGTGTCCGTAGCTGAACGCGAGATGGCTCATTGGTTTGTCCTACACAATAGCTTTGAAGTTGAAAAATACTTAGAGTATGGATCCATTCCACGTATTTATATGTTATAGCTGTCAAATCGATAGTGATGATTTTTTTAATTTATTTTGAGAGCCATTTGTGTAACTAAGGAGCACAAAAACTTGTTACAACAAACTGGAGGTGCATTTGACATCGCAAAGAGGCAACGCGAACAATTTCGTAAATGGTTCAAAAATTGTGTAAGCTGGAATTCCCATTTAGAATCAGTCATACATTACCTTAATATTGGGTATACTTGTAGCATAACACATGTTGTACATGTAGATGAATCAATTACGGAACCAAGTGTCCCCTGAAGCAACTGATGAGATGTGGTCATTAGCCAATGGTCCAAGTGGCTTAGTGAACACATATTCAGGATGTACTTGTAATGGCATCCAATTTCATAATATCGACCGTAACAACCGTCGTAAAAGTCAAAATAGTGGGTTGGTCGTGGATAGGGAGTATGAAGGCCAATTGATAAACTTCTATGGGTACTTGTGCAAAGTGTCGGAAATGAACTATTTGTTTAGACATCGGATCATATTGTTCCAATGTGAATGGTTTAACACTAGTAGCAGAACTATGCATGTCGAACCACATTTGACAACGGTTGATGTAAGAAGTTGATGGTACAAAGACGGCTCATTTATATTACCAAGTCAAGTTCAACAAGTATTCTATGTTAATGATACCAAACTAGGTGCCAATTGGAGAGTTGTAGAAAAGTTTGAACATCGAGGAATTTAGGATATGCCGGAGATGGATGACATAGAAACTAATGATGTGTTCCAACAAGAAGAAACTATCGAGGTTGTACCAGCTGAGGCTATTGACGATAATGTGGTTTTGCGTCGAGATGATATTGAATCTGAAATTATTCTAATGTAAGTTTTCCAATCTATTAGAGATGTAGAAGCCGAGGGTGTTATAGATGATGCCTTCATCTATGATAATGAAGATGGATTAATGAGGGAGGGTAATGACACAGACGAAGAATGTGACCTGCAAAGTGATTTTGATACAGATGTTGACGTATAATGTTGATGTATTTGCTTTTATGATTTGGATATGATAATGAACTAAAATATTTGTCTTATTACTTCATCAAAATCATGTCATAGCTTATTATATATCTTTTTATAAATCATTTCATGTATATCATGATTTATAATGTTAGCTTGTTATATATCTACGCAACAAATAATTTAAAAAGCATGTCATAGTAGCTTATTATATCTCTTCTTTATAATTAAATGTCTTATTGTATATAAAATTATTTTGTGCTGTCAGTTGTTATTGTAGTTTGCATCATGGTTCCTAACTTGAAGACTGGTCGGCTCAATAAAAGGTCACTGATGACCACTGAAACAAACTCGCCGGCTGCTATTCCCTTAGGATCAACAGTTGCACCACCTCCTGTTGTCCCCTCAGGATCAATCGGTGCATCTTCTCCTAATGTGACTAGCCCACCATTCGAGGATTCTGATGAGACACAACCACCGTCAGAAACTCAAAATCATGTCACAAGTAAGATCATTGTACTTCAACTATGTCAATTATCAATTATCATTATTTTCAATTTGCTTATTGTTATTTTGTTATCAGGGACTTCTTGGTCCACACGTGTACGAGGACCTACACTTGGAAAAGGAATACAAAAAATAATGAGATCTAACAAACGGGGAAAATTATATGTTCACATAGATCGTGTCCTAAATGCAATGACCGGAGATTATGCCACTCCAGTAGCTAATAAGTTAGGGCTTCAAATTAGGAGTATGTGCCCTCTCAAGGATGTTACGTCGTGGCTAAATATGGATGAGACTACCAAAGCTACCATCATCCAAGATGTTCTCGTAATTGATAATATTGGGCAATATGTATTCCTCTATTATTTGTACTTGTAAGAAGCACTTATTTTAATGATTGGCATTTTCACTTGTTATGGTTGTAAGACAAGTTTGATATTGGGGATGATTTTCACAATGACTCACAAGCTCAGCAAATTATGAATACAAAGGCATATAAGTTGTACAAAGATTGGAGGTACAACTTGAAGCAAGAATTCGAGCTATTAAAGGAAGAGGGTGTTGATGACTTATACGCTCATCCGCCCTGAGGGATGAGTTTGGATGATTGGAAACATTTGATCGACGTGGCATGGCAAGATGCATCTCACCAAGTAAAATAGTAATGCATCATACATAGTCCTATGCCAAATGTGATATGCCTCAATATTTAACAAAAAATTGTTTATGAACTTATTTTTTGTAGAAACGGTCAAAAGCTGGTAAGAGTAACAGAACTCAGTTGCCATAGAATCATACTAGTGGATCTCGCTCATTTCCTATCATGATGGCTGCTATTGTGAGATTGATTTTATTTAAAATTAACTTCATTATTTTTGTTTTGTTATGAATAATATGTTGTGATTTTTTTATTTGTTGTTATTTGAAATCAATAGGTAGCGAAAAATGTGGACTTGGATTTTTCTAAGTTTTATGAGGACAGCCACACGTCCAAGAAGACGAATGACTGGATCCATCCCAAATGCGGTGAGCTGCATGTAAGTATGAAACAATGAATTAATTGTATTTAATATGACTTACTACCCAAAAATATATATCTTATTATGCCTTTTTGTCTTCTTTATTGCAATGATAGCAAAAGATGGTCAATCTACAAGAGGCTGCCATTGAATCAGGGACGCCGTTGACGCAGGAGGAGCTTTCAAGGAAAGTGCTTGGCGAGAAGAAAAAGTACTTGCTTGGATTTGGGATCGGCCCACAACCGTCCACCATAGCTGCATCACGAGCACGTGATAAGGACATGGAGGCAATGAGAGCTGAGATGGAGGCACTTCGTATGGAGCAACAAAGAGATCGTGAAGAGTTGATAAGAGGGCGAGAGGAGCGCAAGAAATATTAAAATTATATGTTGAGAGAGCGAGAGGAACGCGAGAAATATTACAACGATATGTTAAAAGAGCGAGAGGAGCGCGAGAGATGTTACAATGAGATGTTGCAACAGCAGGCGCAAGGACAGAAAGATTGGGAGGAGACAGATAAAAAGGTTGATAATCTGAATAATGTAGTCACCAAACTCACACAACTCTTGGGGATCTAAGGTGGTCAAATGACGTTTACTATTTGGTAAGTACAATTTTCTTAATGTTTAAAATAATTTGTTAAAATTTGTTAGATTTAACAATGAACTAGTCAATTGACCTGTAGGGACAGGCGGTATGTGAATAGGGCATGTAGGTCACTTGAACCCACACCATAATAATAATACTTGGGGCGGATAACACATGTAAGCATGCCAGGTCACGAACTTTTATATGAACAAATCTTTGATGTCCAAATTTTTAATTTTTGCTGGATTGTTGAATTTTTGTTATTGCATATTATCTTTATTGTACTTTTTCACAAAGTGGGGTGATGCAATTAGAATTTTGATCACGTAACAATTCAAAAGAGTATATGCTACTTATGGTTATGAAATCAGCTTTGCAGGTTTATTAGATGTTCATTGTTGGGATTTGTGTAGGTTAAAAACTAGCTCTTTTCAGCTACTCGATGTTTTTCCCTTGTTAACTTTTTTGTTGACATCAGGATCTGAACTGTTACCGCCTTGCGGTGCAAAGCAATTCTAATGTCTAAAATTGTGATCACCATATTTTGTGTCCTTCAAATTATTGGAGATTATCACCTAAAGTAGTCATGTTTTAGGTGTCATCAATAAATCAACCATGATTTAGTGCAAACTTGTAATATTGGATTTAGTCACTGGATCTGAACTGTTACCGCCTTGGATTTAGTCATATTTTGTGTTTAGTTTCTTTAGTATGCATAATATTGGATTTAGTTCCACTTCTTTGCTGCATCATGTTTCTAATGTTTGATTGTGGGAAATAAAATTACTTTGGGACTATAAATTCTTTTTTGAATGTGTTAAGGTTTTTATATATAATTTATGACGAAATTGGACACTTTATGAGCTGTCAAGGAATTGCCTTTTGTATTTTCCTAGAGTTCTTATGTGCCGATTGATTTGTGTCTATTGGTCAGCTATTAAATATTTTGGATTGTTGTACATTGTTAGAGGTGTTACTATGTATCTTATTTTGTGCTCTCAAATTGCTGATTGCATTTTCTTTGTATCTTTCACAAATTTCCTTCATCTCTACCTAATTTTCCATGATGTGGCCTCTGTTTGTGGAATGCTTTGCAAAAACTTATATCTGCTGTTAATCTAATTGCAAAAACATCCAATGTACATATACGTGGAGATAAATATTAGTTAAATGTAAGATGTTGGAAAGTAAGACAAGGTGTTTTGTATCTTTCATCGCAAGTTTAAAACCAAAAATATGCACAGTAGAGTTTGCACAATCATTCCCATTACTTTTGTCTTTGCTCGAGAGCAAACTTGATTTTCAGACCTTTTATGTTCGTAGTGATAATATCGTTCAAGGCTTCTACACATTTTCCGTCAACTGTTTCCCATATCATAAGGTTTTGGCTATGCATAGTTGATTATTTGTTTATTGATTGAATAGTTTTGGAATATGATACCTACTAGTGTCCAATAACAATAGTTCAATTTTACCCCAGTCCTATTATGACTCAAATGTATGCTAGTCCAATAAATGCTCTACAATTTAAAGTGCACTCAAAAAACAGCCTCTGAGGGCCAAGAGATGTTCCACTCAAGTATTGCTAATATTATGTTTTGCCAAAATCAACTCTTATTCGGAAAAAGCCGTTCAGGGGGCGAAAATGCGAAAAAGCCCCCCAACTAATGTTGTGATGTAACCGGCAAGTTTCTCAGCCAAATAGACCTGTAGGGATAGATGGTACATAAATAGGATAGGTAAGCTGGGAGTTAGGGGAGAAAACATCTTAAACTTAGTCGAAAAAGGCATTCGGGGGACGAAAATGCAAAAATAATTATTAATTTTGTGCAATGATTACTTGTAAAATATTACTTATTGCATGATATATGTTTACATATTTTTTTTATTATTATAAATTCGATTATACAAAACTAATGAATTATTTGAAAATATTAATTATATTCGAGTTGTATGTATATATTTTTTTATAATTTTAAATTTGCCAAAATTTAGTCAATACTAATAATTAACAGATGGTTTTTGGCATGGAATTGCAGTGAAAGACTTTTTTTTCACAAGTACGAAAGACATTGTTTTTAGTCAACAAATTAGCATTAGTTCGTACATATTAGTTTTATAGCGTGGTACAAGAGACTGAATTTGACGTCGTAGAGATTAATTTTTGATGTGGGACAAATTACCTTTTCACATGGTACAGATTAATTTTTTGGCATGGTACAGATTACCTGTTGGCATGGTACAAATTAGTTTTTGGTGGTACAGATTAACAATTGGATATTAATTTTGTTTAATCCTATGTTATGTATGGAATTATATTTTTCAGATTGGATTATTCTTGGTTTGTATGGAATTTCTATTGGAAATATTAATTTGATGTTAAATATGTATTTTTTTGATGGTTGAAAGTGAAATGTGTGCATGTTGTGGAATGGTTGCTAATTTTATCAGTATATGGATAATTTTATATTTATATATATATATATATATATACAGGTTACAGATTGTACTAATAATGAAATAAATACAGGTGGTTGAGAAAGTAATTAAAAAAATTATAAAATTTTTGGCGACTAAATATTTTTGTAGCAAAAAATGCAAGCAAAGATTTTTCATGACTAAATATTTAGTAATAAAAAGAAACAAAAAAACTTTTGGCAACCAAATAGTTAGTAGCTAAAATAAATCAAGATGAGGGAAGAAACTTTTGCTGACTAAAGATTTTAGTCACGAAAGAACATGGCATCCTTCGGCGACTAAAATGTTTGGTCGTAAAATACCATGAAAAGAAAATATCTAATTTTTTGGCAACTAAAATGTTTCGTCATGAAAACTGACAACTAAACTATATGGTTGCTAAATGTATTATTATTAGTGACTAAAATTTGTAGTCGCTAAATGTATTATTATTAATGGCTAAAATGTTTTAGTGACTAAATGTTTTAGTCGCTGAAAGAGAATTTCATTTTGATTTAATTACTTTTGACGACTAAATATTTGGTCGGCAAAACGTCATGTTTGGCCACTAAAATGTTTTAGTGACTACATATTTTAGTCGCTGAAAGAGAATTTCATTTTGATTTAATTATTTTTGGCGACTAAATATTTGGTCGGCAAAACGTTATATTTGGAGACTAAAATGTTTTAGCGACTAAATATTTTACTCGCTGAAAGAGAATTTCATTTTGATTTAATTACTTTTGGCGACTAAATATTTGGTCGGCAAAACGTTATATTTGGCAACTAAAATGTTTTAGCGACTAAATATTTTAGTCGCTGAAAGAGAATTTCATTTTGATTTAATTACTTTTGGCGACTAAATATTTAGTCGGTAAAACGTCATGTTTGGCCACTAAAATGTTTTAGCGACTACATATTTTAGTCGCTTAAAGAGAATTTCATTTTGATTTAATTACTTTTGGCGACTAAATATTTGGTCGGCAAAACATTATGTTTGGCGACTAAAATGTTTTTGCAACTAAATATTTTAGTTGCTGAAAGAGAATTTCATTTTGATTTAACTACTTTTGGCGACTAAATATTTGGTCGCGAAAACATTATGTTTGGCAACTAAGTCCGTTTAGTAGCCAAATATAAGATTATTAGCGACCAACGTTATATTAGTTGCCATTGACTATTGCCGACTAGGCTTTGGCGACCAACGGGGCGACGAATAAATTTAGTCGCCATTGACTATCGCCGACTAAAAAGCAACCTTTGGCGACTAAAAATTTGGTCGCCAAAAGTGTAATTTCTTGTAGTGATTTTCATGGGGGTTTCTGCTGCTTCTACTTCTTTTCACTCTTCCATGAGTGGCTAGGCTCTTATTTCTAGGGTTTTGATGAAATGCTAGCCAAGTAAGTAGGTTTTCTTTTTAGTTTTCTTTTATATAATGGTTTGAATAGTTGTATGGTTTTCAAGAAGTTTTCAAATATAATTTTTCATTATTTCTTTAAGTATTTTTCTTTCTGTGATTGTTGAATGATTTCCATACAATAGTTTTCTATTATTTCATGCTCACGATATGAGACCAGTCAAATTATGAGGGACGAGTTGTGTTGCTATCCTAATTTAGAACAAACGACTCATATTACTTGAGATGGTTTGTGCCTATACATTGAACTTCTTAATTCTCTTAATAAATGCTTTGAGTTTGTAGTTGCGAAGTATTATTTAGTTCGAACTGTAACATAATTGAGACTCAAATTGAAGCCTTATTTATGTAACTAGTGATGAATTCATTACCCTAGGTTTTTCTCAAAATCAATAATTTCATCTTTATGTATAATTGTTAATTTATTAGCTTTGTTTAATTTAATTATCATTAGGTTATGAACAACCATCTCTTTCATCAAAATTAATTTAGGAATTTAATAATTCAATTAATTTAATTTCCCGTTTATCCTTATGAATCGATACCTGGACTTATCGTTAAAAAATTTGATATGATTTAGTATTTTTTTTAGTGTGTGAAACGACCCATCACTAGGAGATCATATTAATTTGGCATGAAGAATCCTCGTACTTTATTTGATTAGAAAATCTCTCGTTTTTTTTTTTTTTTAACATTGATAACTGCCAAAACAAAAAACATCAAATAAGATAATCTGAGACCACAAACAAAACAAGATACAGTAACGATGGAGGGACCTCCTCGATCCAAATCATAGATTCCTGAAAGTCAACCACCACCCGAGCGAGGCAATGTGCCACCAAGTTGCCTTGATGCTTCACATGTTGGACAACCTTTTCATCAAAACACACCATGGCCTCACAGGTAGAGTGAATGACATGGCCAATCCCAGCATAAAAGTTTGCAGGGGGAACACACTGCTGAAACAGCACTTAACCTGTGTTTGATTGGGAGATTTAGAGAGAGATTTGAAAAAAAAAAAATGTGAAATTAAATAAAATATAAAATTATTTTATTAATATTTTATCTATATTTTCTTTTTTTCTTTTTAAATTTCTTTTCAAATTCTTCAACCAAATATAACGTTAAAAGAATCACCATCCATGGAAGAGCCAAATCCATTGCAAATTCAGCCACATAGAACAAGGCCAAAGCTTCCATACTGTCAACAGCTCCGTTTGGGAAGTGGGTTGGTGTGACAACCCTCACCACTGATTACAGTTAAACTGAGACTGATTATGATAATTGACTGAAATCTGGAACTGATTGATTGTATGTATCTGTTTAAGTACATCTCTATCTGTTCGACTGTTAAACTATCTGTTCATGTTTTATGTTTTAAACTGCAAATTGAAGGCCTTATCGGCTGTCGAACTGGAAATTGATTAGTGTTTTATGTTAATTGAGATTTATATGATTTTATGGTGTATTTAATTGAGATGTGATTTGGTATGATTAAATTAGATTAAATGTTGATAAATTATTAAAGTTGGTCTTAATCACCAAATTGCCATCCTAGTGGATCAATCTAGGACCCTTTTGTTGATTCATCTATGTTAGCATTAGACATTTCCTCAACCATTTCCTTAGACTCAAACTGACCAAGAGAGAAGAAAGGGAGAGAGTGAGGGAAATTGAGTTCCATCTTGTGAATTGCTTGGTGAATTAAAGAAATTGAAGGTTGATTTCATAGTTGAGCTTCCTACACTTGATATTCAAGGTCTAAGGTAGAGAATCCACCTTCTTAAACTTGTCTTTAATTTAGTTCTTGCTTGATTCTTGTTATATTGGAAATTGGAGTCAAAATTTGCTTAATATGTTGAATTAAGAGCTTAACCCATGCATGCATGTTGCCATTCTTGAGTTTTGAAGTTAATGTTCATGAAATTCCTCTTGCATGTTCATATTTTGAGTATAGTTCATGATTTTACCATGTTTTTGGAAGAATTAGCTCATTAGAGCATGTAATTGAAGCTTTGAATTGGTTTAAATTCATGCATGTAAAGTTCTTGCTTTGTTCATGAAAATTGGTTTGAAATTGGGATCTTGTGAATTGCTTGGTGAATTAAAGAAATTGAAGGTTGATTTCATAGTTGAGCTTCCTACACTTGATATTCAAGGTCTAAGGTAGAGAATCCACCTTCTTAGTTCTTGCTTGATTCTTGTTATATTGGAAACAGGAGTCAAAATATGCTTAATATGTTGAATTAAGAGCTTAATCCATGCATGCATGTTGCCATTCTTGAGTTTTGAAGTTAATGTTCATGAAATTCCTCTTGCATGTTCATATTTTGAGTATAGTTCATGATTTTACCATGTTTTTGGAAGAATTAGCTCATTAGAGCATGTAATTGAAGCTTTGAATTGGTTTAAATTCATGTATGTAAAGTTTTTGCTTTGTTCATGAAAATTGATTTGAAATTGGATTTAATTGAACTATCTTTGGGCTTTGATTTCTCAAATTGATCTTTGAAACATGTTATATTATGAGTTTTGAAGTCTTTTCCAAAAAATTAGCCTAAAAGGATCGAATTTGGTACATTGAAACTTGTTTTCGAGCTTGAAATTCAAATTTGGAAATTTCAGATTTTGGACGCACGCTCGAGCGGAGTGACTGGCGCTCGAGCGTAAAATTCGTGCATCCAGCGCTTTACACTGTTTTACAGTCCGCTCGAGTGGGGTATTGGACGCTCGAGCGAGGACTTGTGTCACACGCTCGAGCGGGTATCGAGCGCCCAATCAAGCGTGATTTTCACACATCTAGTACTTTTACTGTAGCTTGCATTCCGCTCGAGCCAATTGATTCACGCTCGAGCGAAGACTCTTGTCTGCATGTTCGCTCGAGCGGATATAGACACGCTCGAGCGTAACCCTTGTTT